GATATTCATATTCGAAACTGTTGAAGTTATAGAAAATGTGAGAAGATTAAGAACAACATTTCATACATGTTAATCTGCAAATATCTCTGGAATTCATAGAATTAGAGGAATCATTGAGAGAACTTTTTGTAGCCCTCGAAATTCTCCGTAAACCGTGTCTTTCGACATTTCTTTCTGAAACCATTAGTTTTAGAAATATCGAAGGATACTGAAGAAAATTCCCACCAAGCCCAACACCTTGACTCCCAACCCGAATTGAGCAATAAATTTGTGCGAAAAATTTACAACCAAGTAGTGCTAATAAATCCCCGAGGTCAGTCAAAGAAAATGAAAGAGGAAATTTTTTTTTTTGCTGCTAATGCTAAGAGGATATGCAGCAGCAGGCCCAGGGGAGACTTTCTGCCACTCCATTATGTCTCAGAGGTCTTAACATCTGGCGACAGCGTGTCATCCAGTTCCGGTTTGTGATTCTTCATGCGGATGTGAAAATTTTCATTTTATCCCCCGAAGAAAACACCCACGCGCTTCGCCCTCGCTCCTCTTCCACAAATTTTCAGATCCTATTCCTAAAGAAATTATAAGAATTGAATGAGACAAACAGTTCAGTTTCTTTTTTTCTTGTAGTTCCATTCTTTTTGATTGTGGATTGATCTCATTAGCAATTTCCCGGTCATTCTTCGACGACCAATTGAAAGGCCCCAATTATCGAACATCTAAAAGATCCAGTTTTCGGAGGTGTTTGAAAAATTTTGAAAATTCGGCCCAAAAGGTCGTATAAACACTTTCCTAGAAAATATTAAATCTCCACGTTTCAGATAAGTCTGGGTCATTTGAACCTAATTTATCGGAACATAGTTTTTGGTCTGCTTAAAAACAATTAGGAGACTTTAAAAATTCGAGCCCAGTGATCGTACACATACTTTTCCAGTAAAATTTTCTTTTCATCACGCTGTGACGAAAAGTGAATTTCCGCAAAGTCAATTTCCGCGACATTGTGATGAAAAATATTGTTCGTAACTCGTGAAAAAATGTTTTTTAGCTCGTGGGATGATATAAACCTCCCACTCGCCAAAAAACACTTTTTTGCACTCGTTACGAAATATACTATTTTCTAATTTCTTCGCAAAAAAAAAGTTTTCGGTGGAAAACAAAAACATTTTTAATTAATGAAAAAAAATAAAAAAGAAGGAAAAACAGGGCAGAAATAATGTTTAGATAGAATAGAGTGGAGTCCCACCTTGATTTTTAGATACTTTCCGAAACAAAGTCAGTTCCACAAAAAAAATTAAAAATCTGCAATCCAGGTGGGGAAAGGTGATACAAAGCGGAATTTTTAACTCTTTTCACAATTTCTAGACATTTTTGGTGCTGTGAACAATTTTAAACCATGCTTAATTGAAAGAACGGGAAATTTTCGCCAATGATACATTTCGAACAATCAGAATTTCAACAAAAAGACGACAAAAAGTCGAAAATCAAAGAAATTGACTTTTCCGATGATAATGGGGACAGTTTTTCAAAGTTCATTTGATAGTAGAAAAAACCATCGGAAAAGTCTCTACAAAATTAAAATTCTCAAGGAACGAAAGCGGACCAATTATTCGCAAAATCACTCACAAATTGTGAGTCACAATACAATTTTGTGTTGATCATTCATTCCAGATTAACTCAAAAAATGGTCTCAAAAAAATTCAGAATCATCTAAGCATGAATATTTATTAATCCCCTAAAAAACGGGAACATGTCCTTTTAGTTTCGTAACAAAATTCTCAATTCCCTCTGAATAAACAAAAAAAAATTGTCTTAAAAAGTTACATACAAATGAGTCAGACTGATCTGAAACTTGGAGATTTTGTACTCTCTCAGGACGTGATTGTACAATCTTTTGGCCCAAATTTGGACAATCTTCGAATTTACTTTAGACAGAGCAAAAAATTCCTCTCGAAAAGTTAGGCTCAGATGACTCAGAATCAGCTGAAACGTGGAGATTTCGTATTCCCTGGGAAAGTGTTTATACGACCTTTTGGCCGGAATTTTCCATTTTTTAAATTCCTTGTAAAAAAAATTAAAAATTTTGTTTCGAAAAGTTAGGCTCAGATGACTCAGAATTACTTGAAACGTGGACATTTCATATCCCCTGGGAAAGTGCATATACGACCTTTTGGCAAAAATTTGAAAAAATTGCAAAAATTACGTGTAAAAAAAAACAAAACATTTATCTCGTAAAATTGGGCTCAGATGACTCTGCGTCATCCAAAACATGGAGATTTCATATTTCCTGGAAAATTGGTTATACCACCTTTTGGCCCGAATTTTCAAAAAATTTTCAATTCCTTATAAAAAAATTGAAAATTTGGTTTCGCAAAGGTAGGCTCAGATCAACCAGAATCACCTGAAAAGTGGAAATTTCACATCCCCTGGGAAAGTCTTTATACGACCTTTTGGCACAAATTTTCGGGAAAACAAAAAAAAATGTTTATACGACCTTTTGGCACAAATCACGCGAAATGTGAAAATCCAGGTAACTATTACTCTTGATTTCGTAGATATTGAAAATTTAATTCAGCTGAAATGTGATATTCTTGAATGTTATATTCAATTTTAGCAACATCGGTGGCCGAGTAGGCTAGACGCAAGTCTAGTGTGCGAAAGGTTGTGAGTTCGATTCCCAGTGGAACCGTATTTTTCAACGGAAGACTCCGGCCAGCTGAAGGTTGCTAATAGAGTAATCGACTGTACCGGCATGGGTTTCCTATGGTTTCCCATGCTGCTCCTATGTTCTACAGAAGTGCGAATGCGGTACAGTTTAGAATCCACAGCCACATGCATAGGGTTGGATAGAGTGCCGAAAGGAGACCCGAAAAGCGGACTCAAAAAGCCGTGAAAAAAAATTCAATTTTCAATATTGCGCCTATTGGATTCCATGGAATGAAATAGTATTCAAAAATCAATCTCTACACAGCACGACATATTTCAGTGTCACCACATAAAAATCTTCAGACTGAGGTTTCTAAAACTGTGTTTATATTACGTGGCGACTACATGGCGGGCGACTACGAATACTATGAAGAAAACATAGAACAAAGGACAAAGAGAAAATGCAATCCAAGTGGTCCAATGTACTGGTCCTTATTTTTCTGAAGTTAGTCTCTGACAGTCGGAGTGAAAGTAAGGATCGAGATACGTCTTCTACGTGCGACTGAATAGTCAATCAAATTAAATTCACCGAGTTATTAATTTAATCCTACCCATAAATCCAATAGCGCCTAAGAGTTGAACAATTAAGAGTAAATTTATAACATGAACAGTGCACATGATCAACGGCCCGGGTCGGCGCTAGTCAATATACAAAGATGAAAATAGGTAAAAACCTAGTAATGAATGTTCCCATTTCAATTTTTGCATGCGATTTTGGGTATCACTGTTGTCTATTGATTTACTTTTTTGGGAATAGCATCAAATTAGTTTCATCACTGGATCAGTTCGAACACTCGTCAGAAAAAATGACCGTTATGTGACATTAATTTTTCTCATGTCATAATATAGTTCATACTTGCCCCTGCTCTTCTGAACCAACTAGATATCGTCGCTCTAAAGGTAAAGGGGCGTAAGTGCCAGGAAACAGTGTTTCCAAAGTGAAAGAGGCGTATGTCCCAAATTGATGGTTTTTATGCTTTTCATACAATTTCTGAACAAAAACCTATCAACGAAAATATCTCTAATAAACAGGCGTAATGACCGGATTTTAATGGGACAGGAGCGTATCTCCACACTTACGCCTCTTTCATTTTAATCAATAAATCACACTTACGCCCCTTTAGTGTTATGTATGAGGCACTTTCCATGACGTATTTATTTTTGAGTTGAAATGAGGGGCGTATGTCCCCCTTACGCCTCTCTCCTATTATAAAAGCAATTCTCTTCATAAATTACTCCGGGCTCTTCATCCTGGAAGATATTCACAAAATAGTAGTCAATTCTACCTTGAATCTATTCTTTTTCTCTACTCCTTCGGAGCGTGCCCAGAAAAGGTTTCGGGTTGAAACATCTAATTTTCGATGTTGTTCGAGATTCTTTTTTTAAATGAATAAAGGGTTGAAACGGGTAAAATTTGATTTCTATGATGTGTACATTCACGAGAAGACGGGAATCCAGTGGACAATGGAGTAATCATAATACATTTCGAGACTTTCCAATGAAAGGGAAAAATACTTATTTTTCTCAGTATCATTTGAATTTCTGCCATGTACGGGAGTTACGCCTCTTTGTGATTATGATTTTTTAGGATGGATAAAAAATTGGATGAATGACTAAAAACAAAGGGGCGTAAGTGCTCGACTTACGCCCCTTTATTATTAATTTTCCTTCACGTAAATTAGAATATTATCAGGAAGGATAACAGTAAAGGGGCGTAAGTACCGGACATACGCCTTCTTAGTGTTTACTGATTGGACTTACGTCCACTTGGCGTAAAAAAAATTGACGAAAAACCTAAGATATAGAATGAAAACTCCATTTCCGAAGAAAAAAAAACATACGCCCCTTTGGTATCGAAAAAAAAAATCGAAAAATAATGGCACTTACGCCCCTTTACTTTTAGAGCGTCGATATGTAAACTGACAGCCATGAATTTTTCAGTCATCAAATTTTGTCGTATTGGTAATGATGTGTAGTGTCAAAGACTCACTTCAATTTAAATATATTGATTGTACGTGTTTGGCAATTTACTCAATACTTTGCATTATAAAGTCATCGGGTTATCTCCGAATCCCAAGTTATATTATCGTTTGTTAGATGTACTATGACGGTCAGATAGTAGATGATTCATGTCGTTCTATCACAAGAAATTGTCATATTCCCGTCCGCCTCATGACGGTCGCTGACGAGTCACATGATGGGTCAGTGACATGTCACGTCATTCCTGGTCCCTGCTTAATGAGATATGAGAAAAAAGGATTCAGGCTCTGCAACTTCCCCCCTAAATGATTACAATATTTGGATTATAGTTATTGCATTCCATTTTATTCAGTTTTGTCGAATTTTGTTTAGTACAATCGTTGTGGTGGTCCCATGGAAGATTTAATGTGAAGTGAGCGAACGTTTTGCCAGTGTTTCTTCAGGAGTGAAACTAGGAAGTTGATCGATAGGTGAACATTCTGCACGAGCTCGTCGGGGCTCATCTCAACGTGTCCAACAGCTACAGAAAGACAGAGTACTTTCTTCATTTGGAATTTGATCGTGGCCTTGACTTCGTCGATTTTAGCGAGCATCGACTCCTGGTGGGAGAGAAGACCAGGGAATTTACCGGCTTTGTTCAGCCCTGGGCCGAGGAGACGTGGAATTTGTTTGATGAGAGATTCACTGGCCAGGAAGGCGTCGTATTTTTTGGCTGTTAACAGACAACCAAAAATCGTCAATAATTAGCTGTAAATACTGTGAAATGGGGGAAAATAATGAGATAAATTGAATGGACGATTAATTATACTTTACCTAGTTTCTTGACGAGTTTCTTATTCTTATTCAACTTCTTCAGAGCCTCTGCATCCATAAATGGCACGTTATTAGTCTTCGCCTCGTCACAATGCTGCTGATCACCAAGAATACAGACCTGCATTTTTGGTCTGGGGATGTTCTTGAGCCTAAACAATTTAATTTACGGAATGAAGGCATTTGAATTCATTAGAGAATAGGTGGAATAAAACATATGAATCAAAAATCCCATCATCCCCTAAGATCCTGGATAATTTGAACATTTCAGTAGTGAAGTGGTAAAGGATGTAGATTTTTTTGCTTAAGGGGTAACGGAAGCCGTTGAAATAAACTTATTTATGTTCTAGCTTTTCTTTTATCCTATGCAATATAAATGGCCGAGATTTTCAGCATTTATTGAGGGAAGCATAAGGGAGGGTTTGTAACCCTTCATAAATAAGAGAAAATTTTGCAATTTTTTTCATAACAATTTTTTTTTGCAAAAATAACAAAACGGAGGGTTACATACCCTCCCTCATGCTTCCCTCAATATGTGGAGAAAATTTCAGCCATTTTTATTGAATAGAATCAGAGAAAAGCGTGAACATAATCTGCTCTTTTCGACGCGTTCCGTTACCTCTTAAAATGAGATGATCTTTCAAATCGACTCTGAAGATGACCGCACTGTTTTACCTAACGCGTAGGTAAATGACATTTTTGGTGAGTGTTGGTAACTCAAATAAATCAATCAAGGTAATTATAAATTCAGGTAAATCTTCTGATTATGAATGGAAAGAATAGCACTTTTCATAACAAAAAGCAAATACTTAAATCGATTATTACCAATTTAATTATTATTTCTGATTTTCTTAAGCACATGCTTCGATTAGTAAAATCAATGGACATCCAAAAAACACAGTTGTGTCAATAAGAACCGAATATGTTTAGAAAAAACAAACCTCGATCTGGAATTCATGTATGAAAAAAATCAATAGAAAGACTTAACGAATTGGCTAGAAAATTCTATTGGAATTCTCTAGAAATTCTAGGGAATTCCCGTTAAAATTTTATTTGTTTTTTGCGCTGATTCTATGAGATATTTGATAGGAAAAAGTCAATAGATTTCGGTTTTTCTATATGAATATTCTCTTGGAATTTTTTCTATAAGAATACTTGGACATGAATTTTCCAAGTTTTTTCCACTCGCACCAGGTAATGCAAAATAAAACAAAATATAGCGGAAAAATAGAAAAAAACCGAAGAGAAAAATTCAAACAGAAAAATCGAAATCTATTGACTTTTTTTAATCAAATATCTAATAGAATTGGCGCAAGAAACATATACGATTTTAAGGAGAATTCCCCAGAATTTTAATAGAATCCCCATCGAATTTATAAAAAATTTCAATAGAATTTTCTAGCGAATTTGCTAAGGTTTTCTACTTGATTTTTCCATGCGTATTACATAATCTCATTGTGTCACTTCGATATTGGAATTAATCATCTACTTGTTTTCTACTTCATTTGAATTTTTTTATGAGTACCAGCTCTCAGTAAAGATTTTGCATCACTGATAAAATTCAGATAATACATGCTTATAATCAGCATCATCGAGCAAGTCCCCAAAAATGATGATTTCAATGATTTCATAATTACTTTTGATAAAGAAAAACTTACCATCAGGATCTCATGATCCTGCCATGATTTATAATAAAAGAATGACGGTAAAAAAAAACCTCCCCACTATTTAAGACCCTGTGTAAGGGTCCGCCGAGGGAAGCTCGGCTCCCTGACGTGTCACGAGGCGATCCTCGCGGTTCCACGAATGCAAGAAAATTTTGATCCAAACAAATATGAATTTGCCGATTGAGTTTTCATCGAGCATTCAGAACCACAAGGAGCCCCCATTGTCAGGTGAAAACGTACTTGACGGTGCCCGAAAAACGCTTGTCCTTCTGGGGATCATAATTCTTCAGGCCAATCTGCAGCTCAACTGTCTCGAGAAATTTTCTCTTCTTGTCTTGGGAATTCTGGATCACTGCATTCACACACTCGTAGAGAGTGTCACGTGATACTTTGGACCTAAGAGATGAAAATGCGAGAGTTATTTATAAACCCTAGGCGGATAGTGTGAACAGGCCAATTGCTGGACGGTTAAGGAGAGACGGAACCCCTGTGTCTATATGAACTTTTAGAATTGTCTTTTCTCTTGCAAATATTATTTATTATTTATGAAACTATTTTTTTGACTAAACAATGCAATAATCGAGTTGATAAAGTTCTCTCTATATTATAACAATCCGAATCGACTTCTAGTGATGAAAATTTGGTACTCAAAATTAAGACTCCAAAATTAAGGGTCACGAGGGTCAAAATATAGGTATGCGAGTCAGAGTAAGGGTCACAAGGGTCAGATTACAGGTCATATGGGTCAGATTAGGGGTCATAAGGGCCAAAAGAAGGGTCACGAAGGTAAAATAAAGATTATGAGGGTCAGATCATAGGTCATATGGGTCAGATTAAGGGTCACAAGGGTCAGATTAAGAGCCACGAGGGTTAGAATAAGGGTTACGAGAAACAGGTTAAGGATCACAAGAGTCAGAATAAGGATTACAAGGGTCAAAATGAGGGTCACAAGGGTGAGATTACAGGTCATATGGGTCAGATTAAAGGTCATAAAAGCCGAAATAATAGTCACGAGGGTTATTAGGGTCAGAACAAAGGTCACAAGGGTCAGAGGGTTACGAGATCCGATTAAGGGTCACAAGGGTCGGATGAAGGGTCACGAGGGTTTAAATAAGGGTCATGAGGGGTGGCGAGCGGAGCGAGCAGGGAGTGTAGCCCCCTAGTCATATATGCAGATTAATAATTGTGAAATTTGAGTTTCGTGGTAGGATCTGAAATAAAAGAATCACCCAAATGGAAATATGATGGATTCCATACCTGCAAGAATTTTTTAATTAGCAGAAAAAAATTATTTAAAGTCCAAATAACAAAACAAAGAATAATTTAATTGAGAAATAGTTGAAAGCAGTCAAAACCTCTAATTTCTGGACGACTGGGCCATATTTTTTGTATTTATCAAATGTCGATCAATAGAAAAATAGTATACAGGAGTAATATTATTGAAAGGTGCAATAATCAATACAATTTTCATTTTATTATTTATGGAATATTCAATGGAAGTAAAAATCGACCAGAAACTAACCCCATCTAGAAATTGACCTGTTTACCCTCCGGAAGGAAAATGTTGGTAGAAGTTTTCCAAAAAAAAATCCCATGGTGAATTTAATTCTCTACAAAAAATATCTACTGACATTCTTTTCTAAACCCATTGATTTTGCAGGTATTCCTAAAAAAAATTGGATGAAATTATTTGATTTGTTTATAGAAATTTTGACTTCATCTCGTAAATCACTTGGTTGCGAATATTAATTTATAAAAAAGTTAATGAGTGAGCACAATTATCATACATGGGCAATGTTTAATATTTTATCAATGACAATTGCTCAAAGAAGTGAAATCTACCGGATAATAGGGGTAACAGGTACTGGTCAAACAATAAAAATAGTGAACAGGAATACTCAATGTCTATTCATAATTCTTAAGGATGTTTTTATACATTTTCCCCTAAATCAAGTGGACATCTCGGAAGGAGTTTGGATGAAAGTGTTGAACTCATCCTCATCTCGTACGTGACTTTGTTGTCAATAGTAATTCAGACTGAATTATTTAATAAAATAGGAAATTTCTTCAATAGAAAATTTTAGAAAAATTCTAAATTCTCAAAAATGGTCATAATTGCCAAATGGAATGAAAATGGTCATGATATTGAAAGAAAAATATAAAATTTTTCAAAATTGATCTACCAATGGAAACAACAATTATTACTATCGCCTGTATCTTTGAACTCTATCGAAGGGACTACGGACAATTTTTTAAAGTCATCATTTCCTGAATTCAGAATATTTTTTTAGTTATCGTGGGACAACCAATTTTTAAAAAAATCGAAAATTCTGAAAATTAATATAGGAATTACGAGGGGGCTACGCCCCCTGCTGGCTGCGCTCGCCAACCTCCATATAACTCCCATGATCCTTATTCTGACCCTTGTGACCCTCATTATACCCCTCGTGACCCTTAATTTTGGAGTTTTAATTTCGAGCACCAAATTTTCATCACCAAAAGTCAATTTGGATTTTTCCAATATAGAGAGATATTGAGATCCTTATTTTGACTCTCCATTTCTGACCCTTAATTTTGGAGTTTTAATTTCGAGCACCAAATTTTCATCACCAAAAGTCAATTTGGATTTTTCCAATATAGAGAGATATTGAGATCCTTATTTTGACTCTCCATTTCTGACCCTTAATTTTGGAGTTTTAATTTCGAGCACCAAATTTTCATCACCAAAAGTCAATTTGGATTTTTCCAATATAGAGAGATATTGAGATCCTTATTTTGACCTTTAGTTTCTGAGCCCCATGACCGTTATTTGGGCCCTTCATCTGACCCACATAACCCTTAATCTGACCCAGACCGCCCTTATTTGGACCCTTAATCTGACCCTCGTAACCCTTATTGTGACCCTTGATCTGGCCCTCATGACCCTTGTGACCTTTAATTGCGGAGTCTTACTTTCGAGTACCAAATTTTCATCATCTGAAGTCAATTTGAATTTTTATAATATAGAGAGATATTTAAATCAATGTCGCTGCATACCCTCAATAATATCCCCATTTGGAAAATAAAAATGATTAAATGCCATCGATTCATTAGCGGATAATTCAAGACCAACTTGGTCACATGGCATTCTTTGACTTCATGGATCATACTGGGTTCATATTAATACAAAAAATCCAAAACTTAAACTTGGACAATTACAAGGCTTCCATTCGGAAGCAAAAACCAGGCAAATTGTGAGCAAGACTTGATTAATTATAATTTATAATTGTTCAACAATTGTCCAGAGTAATTAGGCTATACAATAATGAATTATTACTTACGTCATGTTACCCAATGTTATCGGGACGAAGGCACAGACCGAAAGGCCGAAAATTCCGGAAAGAAATGGCTTCCAAAATTATAAGATTCTATCGTCATCATCATTCACTTCCTTTTCGACCGCAGCTACTACAATCCTCGGTGTATTATCGACTGGGGAGAATCGATAAATATGAACAACCTTATCTGCAGGAATCCTGAAGCATTAGATTCCGACGGGCTGTTGCGTTCCAAAATAAAGTTTGACGTATGACCTTCCAGTGCATAATAAAAACATTCATCGTTAATTGAGAAAAAAATCAGAATTTGTTATTGATTCATTAAACATAATTAAGGAGTGAGTACGATTAATTCAGTTTTTGAAATCTTCTCTTCAAACACCCACAGATCATTGAATTATGACGATTGAGGTTAGATAAGTCATGAGACTGTCATTCCGACTGATTACATCCCAGATGACTCATTCCTTCAATTCACTGATGATCTGAGAAATTCTAACATTCTTGAATTGCCTTGATAATGCTTAATAACAGGCTAAAAGCACTGACTGATGATTTTTTTCAATTCCGGAGAGTAAATTTTTGTTTCAGTTTTTGAAGTTCTGAAAGTTTGATTGAAAATAAAATGGAGTGGCTGTTTGGCAAACGAGTTACCCCTGAAGAAATGCTCAGGAAGAATCAGAGGGCTCTCAATAAAGCAATGAGGGATCTGGACAGGGAGAGAGCCAGGATGGAGCAGCAAGAGAAAAAAATTATTATGGATATCAAGAAAATGGCAAAGGATGGCCAAATGGTAATCGTAGTCAATGTTAAGTTATTTACATTGGGGGAGCGGCGGGTAAATGCGCCATTTTTATTGATCCATAATTTGAAAGGAATAGTGAAATTCTACAATTAATTTTTCATTCTGACCCTGTTCTTGAGGCTTTAAAATGGGACCTGATTCATCATAATTGCATCATTTAGTTGGGTGATATCAATTATTTGACAAGGCTCATTTCACCTCCCCTTCCTTTAAGGATGTCCAAGTACTTTGGCTATTCTTTCCATAGTGAAATGCTTTTCTGCTTTTGTAGTCGAGCTTACTTTTGGAGGAAGATGAAATAATTAAAAAATTACCATTTTTGAAAATCCGTGCATTTTAATTTTATTATTATTAATTAATTTTTCATTAATAAACAATCAATTTCCTACCATGAACATCATTTATTCGGAGTCTCCACAAATTGATTCACATTCAAAATTTTACCAGAAATCGATTCCATGCCAAAAAACTGAGGTTTCCGAACGTTTAAATAATTTCAATGATTTATTTATAAACAAGCAATGTCTAGAAAAATAACAATTCTGTGCAAAAATGTAATTTGAATGACACCGAATATTCCTGATTTTTTTTCAAATTTTTATTACGCAACTGTACAACTGTAAAACTGTAAAAGACACTTGGATATCCTTGAGGACATTCGATGTATTTTAATGGCGACACCGAATTTTCTCCACAAGATGATCTCTTGCAGACAATGGAGTCCCCTCATTCTTTGATACTTGTGATGTTTAGCATTAAGACCTTGTCTACAGGAGTTCTAATAATCATTTCGGATAGACATCCTTACTTTGATATTTTTCTCCAATTATTAATGATCAGGATGCTGTGAAAATCATGGCGAAAGACCTGGTGAGAACACGCCGATACGTGAAGAAGTTTATGCTGATGAAGGCGAATATTCAGGCAGTGTCCTTGAAGATTCAGACCTTGAGATCCCAGAACGCGATGGCTGGAGCTATGAAGGGCGTTACAAAAGCCATGCAGAGCATGAACAAGTGAGTTTTGTTGATAAGAATGAAGGCGAATGATTTAATTATTTATTAATGGTTTTTCAGGCAACTTAATCTACCCCAGATTCAGAAAATCCTTCAGGAATTCGAGAAGCAGTCTGAAATAATGGATATGAAGGAGGAGATCATGAACGATGCTATTGATGATGCGATGGAGGATGAGGGAGACGAAGAGGAGAGGTGAGAACCCTAGGAAAATCTTAAACATTTACGGCAAAATGATTAAAGTCAGTGAGGAAGCAAGGAGACTTGACAGAATGACTCAATTTTTACGTCTTATTGAATGAAGCAATATCAAGGGATATTTTTTGTGGATTTCTGCATCTCAAAGAAAATTCTCTTGACAAGACGAGTGATATGGACACTGGAATTATTTTGAAATGCTAATGACTCATTCAGTTTTCAATGGAATGGCATAATTTTTTTCCATGGAAAATACTAATTGCTTCTCGTTGTGATGATCCTAGACTGAGCTCAATTGATGAATTCGTTTCTAAGTGAGAAACATTAGGAAAAAAGTTAGAAGCTTCCATGCTGCCTCACCCTCCCCTATTTGTTATCGAGGTAGATGCACAATTAATAGTTATAGTTTATGAATGAAGAGGAGCAAATTTGATTCGAGTGAATTGAAGAGCTTCACATAGATAATGAATTTTTTGTTTCTAAGGAAGCATTCTCCGTTTATAGACACTCGCCGTTCTAAAATGGAAGAAATGAAGAATCTTCAAAACAAATATTTTTCTTACTCGTTTGAAAATCAGACGAATAGTTCTGATTTTTCGTAATTTTTTGCACTAAATTCCAGATAATTTTGCTGGAACTTACAAGCATTTCCCTTTATTTGACAGGATTATCTTATTATTAATATTCAACGGTTTTTCAGTTCCAAATTCCAGGGTTTTTTCTACACATTTCAGTGGATTCCAGAAAATCTCTTATGTTAAGGGCAACTTCAGTTAGCGTCAAGAGGGCCTAAAAATAAGGAATAGTTGGAAATTAAAGCTCTCTTTTCTGTGTTGAAAGTCGATTTAGGAAGGAAATATCACGAGATATTTTGCTTTAAATATCCCAAACCTCTTTTGACATTTTTCCCTCAAACCCTTCATATGATCAACATTAAGGCCCGGGTGTACTATTTTTCGAATGTTATCTGGATTTTTTTTTATCTTTCATAATCCAAAATTGTCAATTGAGTGGGTAGAAATTCCCAAAAATTATGATAGAATGATAAAAAAAAATAGAAAAAATTCTGAACTTTTTCAAAGAGCGTTTTTAATTGAGATTCAGAATGAGTTGAGAGAAGTGGAAATTACAAATATCTGATTCGCTGTAGCAAATTATCTATTAGCTGTCATTTTCCATGCTGGATAACAAAACACTAACTCCTCATGGGAAGTGACAGCTAGGTATCTCAATTTTCAAAACAGTGGTATGTAGTCATCTGCGATTTTTATATGATAAAAGTGTGATTAAAAAATTCTCCAAAATATTACAACTTTTTTCAAAGAGCCTTTTCCGTAATAAATGTCTCTGTGCAGTGTGGGAAAAGATTTAGGAAATCAGTCTTCCTCCTGCATGATATTGAGTGACAGGCCGCCATTTGTCACCGTAAATCAGATACATTTTTCAATTTCTTGTTATTCAACTTATTCTGAATATAAATTAAAAATACTCTTTGAAAAAATTAAGAATTTTTTCCACTTTTTTTGATTATTCATTCATAACTTTTCAAAACTTCTACATGATGAGGACTTAATTGATAATTTCAGATGACAAAAGATGAAAAAAAACATGGAGATAACGTTCGAAATATAGTACACCCAGGCCTTAATGCAAAATTACAAAAAAACTGCAGACTGGATTCGCAACGTTAAAAATCATTCTTTATTTAATCCATTCCAGTGATGCAGTTGTATCCCAAGTACTCGATGAACTGGGTCTCCAACTGACAGATCAGTTGTCAGGTTTACCTCAGGCCGGAGGATCGCTGAGTGTAACTGGTGGTAAACAGGCAGTACCAGCAGGTGCTGCAGCTGCAGGTGGAGGTGGAGAAGACGGAGGTAACCTCGTGGATGCTGATGCAGACCTTCAAGCTAGGCTGGAGAATCTTCGAAGAGAGTAAACCAAGAACCACTTCCAGAATTCCCGTTCCAAAAAACTTGTGGACGTTGTACCGAGGAGTGGTGAATGAGTAGCAAAGTTTTACTTTTCTATTGATTGTGATAAGTAACGAGGAAGACGGAGGTAGAGATTAATTAAGCTTCTGATACGATGGATCCACCGTGGATACTTAATTAAAAATGAGAGTTACTGTTCGTCGATGGAATTAAATGTTACAATTGTAAATTCCAGAGCAGCTTGAACTCAAATGCTTCTGCAAACACACGGTTGTGTACAGGAGAGCACTGCGGGGCTCGTTATTGACTTTCTCCTCTTATTTAACGAATTGTTGGAGTATTTTTAATTACGATCATTATGAGGAATAACGAATACCATAGCTTTTTATATTATTGATTGATGCTGAAGTTCAAATACAAGATTACTCACTAATGTTAATTCATTGATTTTTTTAATTCGTCTAGTCTGAGAGAGAAATTTAATGGTGAAGTGGTGAATGTAACACAACAATCAATTTTTCACATTTGTAATATTAATTCATTCTGTCAATGAATGAGTTTATGTGTTGAAAATTTTTAGCTGAATTCTTCGGGCCAAACCCTGAAATTTCCATGAAATTATGTTTGCATTGAAATTTCAATTCAATTGTTCATGAAAATTCATAAAAATTCAGGTGAAAACTAAATAGTTAAGTAAATTGCGAAATTTATGTCTCTCATTTACTGATAACTCATGAATTCCCTTGAATTTTACAGTAAACTTGAAATTTCACATTCATTTTTTCCTTAAATCAAATTCAGTATTATTCGTATAAAAATGACCACCAATTTGTTGTAACAATACCGAATGCAATATCAAGAGATGTTTTTTTTGGAAATTAGCAAAGTCACCCATCAAAATAATTCAGTAGATTGGAAAATATGTGTAAAATCGTCTTGTTCTGTCCCATTTCACCCTTTCACTGATAAATAAACTCCAAATGATCTACCAGGAACTACATTGAACAAACCGCCATTTCCAAACTCCTCTCACCCAAAAAATTTGTTTAAATGTTTTTATTTACGTTATTTTCTTCAAGCACTAAACAACTGGGAAACGCGTTTTTTTCGTATCTTACAAAATTTCGTGGGACCTCTCGATTAATCACATAAGTGTACATATTGTCAGTATCTTTAAACAGATTTCTCTTTTAATTAAGAATCATCTTTGTTAATTTATGAAGCCAAGTGGTCCAAGTATATTTGTCAGAGGAAGAATGTTGTTAATGTTGGATCTTCCCGACAATTGACTCGAATTAGCTTCACGTCATGACTTCTCGTCATTCCAATAATTATTCCTTACTTGGATTATTCTTCTTATAATTAGATTACTCGGTAAGAATGAATTGCAGGCGCCGGGGCTAGGATTATTATGTTCTTTTTTTTTATTAATTTTTCATTGTCGCTTTCGCTTCAATCATTTGTGTTACGATCTAATAATGCGATAGTAGCAGTTGTTTTTTTAATCTTCAGAGCGTCGTTACAACATTGAGCTTTTTTAAAATTTTTCATTTTATTTCCAATACTGAATTATTCATATTTTTCATTACATGGGTTCGATTCCTAAGATCAGAATATTTCGCTAGGGATGGATTCTCGTTTTTTCTAAGATATATTTATATTTTTTTGTAGTTTTTTTTTAGGTTTTTGGTAAACACTTTTTTGAATTTAGTTTTTTATTTTCTCGTCTACCCATAGAAAATCTCTACGAAGTCTTGACGTTATTTTTGGTTTAATTTAATCGTCTTATTTTTCTTCTCTCTTTTTCTATATCTCTCGTTATTCAATATATTATTTACTTTTACTCTTCTTTTAATTAGTGTACAAACTAATTTTGGATTGTACGAAATTTCTATTGGCTTTTTTTCATTGAGACTTCTAATTTAGCTTAAGGTGGTTCCTTTTATCATATATTTAATTACCATTATTACAACTCAAAATCAATTATTTAATCACGGAAAGTAATTGAATAATTGCTCAAGAGTTTGATCTAAATTATTTTGATAACATCATGAATTATCTTTTCGCGTGAAAAAATTGTGAGAAATTTTACAATCGAATTAACAAAACGAGTTTATCAAAATGAATAAAAGTGATTAATAAAAAATAACGATAAAAAAAGTGAAGTCAATACGTGGGCCGATTATGAAAACTACTTGACTTAAAAATATCACAATCCCTCAATTATTCATCTTCGTATTCTTTAAATTCACTTGTAACTTTAATCTCACTTCTATCTACACAAAATATGAAAAAAAGAAAGAACTGAAGAACTTAACATTAAAAATACATTCGTTAATTTGTTAGTTAATTATACCCTGACTCAATATCTTCAATTATTTTCACCCTTTGAACGTCGAATCATTTCGATGATATTGTGGAAACATTTTCATCATCACCGAAACTACAAACAACACTTGTATTTACACGGAGGAAGTGCTCAGGCCCTTTTCATTTATCTCCATTAAATAATATTATCTGGATATGGTACAATCTCTCTAGAATATCTCCAATAAGAAAGAAAAAAAATAGGTCTCATGCTATCTGATGTGGATATGGCTCGTTGGAGGGAAACTTCCTGTCTTAATCCTCACGTACCTCGTCCTAATATACATGTTCTCATTTATTTTGGTTTTTGGTCAAGCGTCTTAGATAAATAAATACAAATCTCTAGGCTACAGAAGGTATTTTGATAAAACAAAATATCTAATGGTCTGTGCGCTTACTTCGGAAACAGTTTATGATACATATTTACATTAATCCCTTACCGAATACTTCTCAGTAGGTCCTGATACCTCAGTTCATTCAGTAGATGAGTGATGAAGTGCGATAGTTTAATTTCGAAATTTTTGTAATTGTTCATTCATCTTGGGAACGAGAAAATTTACCATCAAAGCTTTTGGCCTGACTTGACTTTTCCTTTTTTCATTCAAAATGAAGTTTTTTCTATATTTTTATCCCTATCAGTAATTTTCAGAGACCTTCAGTGTTTATTTTGATGATCTCAAATGATCTCCAATTGCTATTCAGTTTTACATAGCCCTGGAGTCGCTAAAAATTATGATCGTACAATAAAAAAAACGTTGAAAAAAGCTGAACATTTTCACACAGCGTTTTTGAATAATATTGGAAAATAAACCCAATCGGGAGGAAATTGCAAATTAGTAATTTGATCTATCTAATGGCTGTTAAGTCGTCATTTGCCACAGTACTCAATGGCTGTCAGATTGTTAGTTATCATGATAAATTATCCATTCACTATTTCCCCTCTATCCGACTTATTTCATAATCTTTATCAAAAACACTCTTTAAAAATGTTCAGTTTTTTTCTACTTTTTTTGTTTGTACAATGATAATTTTTCGGGACTCCTGTGTGATGTAAAATCCAATGGAAATTGTGATATGTTTTAGATTATGAAGATAGCTGAAAACAATCAAGATAACATTCGGAAGATAATCCACCTGGGCTTTAAATCTTGTTCTGAATTAACTCATCACCAAGACAAATCGATATTCAACTTTTAAAAAATTGCTTCATCTCATCCCATTCCATTTCACCACATCACCACTGAATTCCTCACGGGACCCTCGACGAACTCTATTTTTACAGAATAAAAAAATTCATATAACCGGCGAAACGAATCCAAGAGTCAAATAGTCCAGACCTGAACTTTTTCAGCAACAATACACCAGCTAGCATGATCGTAGTACGAAGATATAATGTGAAGATTCTCAACGTATTTATTGATAAGAGCATCGAGTTCACCTTCCCTGAAGACGTGGTAGTACTGATGGTAAGTGATAGCCCCACCCCCGCGATCAGAAGGTAGAGACTCCTGCGAGGACGACCCAGAGAGATTAGCAGACCTGGGGGCCTCATACCTCTCCCCAGGTATTTCCTCCGAGGCTGATCGTTTGGCATACTGATACTTTCTCCTGTCCTTGGGGCTCTTGTACCCCACATTTGACGTCAGAGAGGCCGTCGAGCCACAGCAGAACCTCCTGGTGGCGGTGGAATCATCACTGAGACTCACTGTGTTCTCGATCGAGTCTCCAATGTCACTGGACTCTACAGATCCCCCGAACCTCATGTAAGACTTGTCCCCCTTGGATTGCTCCTCAGATTGTGCTATTCCAGAGCTCACGAAGGTATTGTTCGTGATGTTAGTCGTGGTCTCTTCGACTTCACCTGTATTTGATACCATTACGAAGTCCATGGTGTCCTCGGAGGTGCTTCGACACAGTGGAAGTGACTCTTGGGTTTTTTCCGGGGTTGAGTCGATGGGACTCAGCTTATTGTCGTATTCAGAGAAGTCTGTGTCGCCTGTTGAACCCCTCAGCCAGGCTATCGTATTGTCCACCAACTCGCTGTACTTGCAGTTAGTCAGACTAGGTAATTTCGAGGATGAGTCCTTCCTGTACGTGGGGATTGAGGGGATCGAGGTGTAAGCGTTTGTGGCTGAACTCCTTCTCGTTATCTCGATATTACTGGTTTTCACTGAATCCAAATCGTTGGTGATTTCTAAACGTGTCTTTTGACAGTACTGGTCAATGTCGTGGATCAGGTTCTCGGATAATTTCTCGGTAAAATCGATCAGGTGCCTTCGGCACTCCTCGTTCCACGTGTTGTCCTCTGGGGATAGCTTTCCGGTCTCTTGGAGATGGTTTCTGACGTGCTCGACCTTTGTCTGGGTGAGGGATTTCAGGGTGGAGGGACTGGCTGCCTCGTGGGAGTCCTCGGAGTGCAAACCGATCACTCGACCCACTGCGTCCTCCAGGGAACTCGCTACGTTGGCAGCTGCCTCGAGAAGGCGCAGGGATTGGGATGATGAGGAGGAGATTTCCGTTGTTTGGGGGCTCGTCCTCTCCTCTGTTGGGGGCGATGGCTCTGAAGTGGATATTGTCGACTCCTTCGGGGTCTCGGATTCCTTGGCCTTTAATGATTCTGGAATTTTTAATTAGTGGATTTAATTGATGAGATGAGATTGCACGCACGAAGAAATTTCGTAGAAAAACATAGTGAGTTGGACAGAAAATGCTATTGAATTTTTATCGAACTTTCGTTAAAAATTGTATTAGTTTTTGGCTCATTCTATTGGAGAATCGCGCAGCTTTAGTGCGCTTTTTTTATCTAGAAAATGTTCAATGGAAACTATTTTATAGAAAAATTTATAGAATTTCATTTTGCTATACACCTTTTTCTATTGAGAAATTTTCTATGGGAATTCCTCGATGCTATTTTCGAAATAATCGAGATGAATTGTCTGTTTTTCACTCAACTTTTATTTGCTTTTCATTTGGAAAATCAAACAAGAAAATCGAAAATTTCAGTCAATGAAATAAATCAAAAATAGAAAATTTCAAGACAATGAATTGGATAAAAAAATCAAATTTTATCGATTTTTTCTACATTAAATATTTCCATGGAAGATTTCTATTGGAAAATGCGCGCAGAAAAGTTGCAAAATTTTTCAATAGAATCGGCCAAAAATTAATAGAAAGGTCAATGAATATTGATATCGATATTTAGATTAGTTTATAAGTAGAAACCAGTGAGTTTAGAAAAGTTGGAAAGACTTTTCATTCAACTTATTTCCTTGAAGCACTCGACAGATGAGAAACGCGATTTTTTATCCGACAAAAACAAAATTTTGTGGGCCCTCTTGATTGATAACAGAACTGTAAATATTGTATCTTTAAATAGATTTCTCTTTCAATTGAAAATTATCTTTAATAATTAATTAATTAATTTAACAAAGCGGTCTAAATATCTTTGTCAAAGGAAGAATGTTATTAATGTTGGATCTTGGTTACAATTGACTCGCATTTGCTTCACGTCATGACTCTCGTCACTCCAAGAATTGATATTGATATTAATATTGATATTGATATTGATATTCAGATTGGTTTCTGAATAGAAACGAGTAGGTTTAAAAGACTTGATACTTTTTTTGTAGGAGGATCGTTCCAATTTTTTTCATGTTGAAATCGACATTTAGGCGATAAATGCTAGACAAGTCTAGAATATTCTGAAATATTGTCAGAACATCTCGATGGTGAAAGGAACTGATAAGTAAGTTGTCCAATCAATCAAGAGGTTTTCATAAATTTTTATAGTAATTTTACAATCAAATCACGCAAAATTAATGTAAAAATTCCCTCGCAGAAAACTGATGTATTGGTTAGGAATTTCTTATAACTTTCTAGAACCTTCCATGACTCTCCTAAGCATTAGCTTCTGGAACAATCACAAAATTCCTTAAAATTTTGAGAACATTCTATATCGGGAAATTGTAGAATTTGCCGGATGATTCGCGAACTTTCCAAAGTACTGTTATGTACCGTTCTGAACATTTCTTGAACTGTTTAAAACCTTCCATGAATTTCCCGAAAAAAGTATAAGTAAATTATATAGAGTGAGATTTTTCTAACATTACTCGATTGTCAGATATTCCCAAACTTCGGTGATCATTTTGCGAATCCCCCCCAAAACTCGAATTTTTCAATCAATTCTCGAATACAGAAACGGATTTAGTGCATTTAGAAGAATCTCTCATGCATTTTTTGTGAACAACGTGTCATCTACAAAAAATGTCTCTCAAAAACTTGGAAAAACAAGTTGATATCTATGTTTTTGCATAAGCGAGAGTGCTTACAAAGTTTTTTTATGAAAAAACGGGAATATCTTGAAAACTTTGTGTGAATGTGGGCATATGGTTTGATTGATTTGGATAGAAGGCATCGAAACGAATGTTTTCAAAAAAAAAAAATCGGTTGCGTAGTTGTGAAGATGTTCCATGTAAAAGATTTTCAGAAAAATTCCAATATCTCCGGAACCACCGATGCGATTGAACCCATCTTCAATACAAAACATCATCATGAGAGGAAAATTCTGTCTAAATTTCAAGTTGATATCTCGATTTTTGCACAAGCTAGAGTACAAAGTTTTTTTTATGAAAAAATGGAAGAACGGGAATATCTCGAAAAATTTGTATGAATGGGTATATATGTTTTCATTGAATTAGATAGAAAGCGTCGAAACGAATATTTTGAAAAAAAGAAATAAATCGAAATCGGTTCACTAGTTTTGAAGATATTTGCGGAAAACGATTTAAAAACGAATCCCTTTTTCTCAAAAACTATTAGATCGATCGAGCTGAAATTCTGCGAAAAGCTATTCCTCATTAGGACTCATAATCTGATAAAACTTCAGATTTTTTGGAATTACTTTAGCCCCTTAATTACTTAATTTCTAAAAAATCGCCACCGGGAAGGTGGCAGTGGACCTGTTCACGTGCAGGCACGGTCTGCGAAAATTGTAATCTTCATATTTTTACGCGTCAGACCATTCTACATCACTTCCAATCAAAATTAGAGAATGTGAAAATTGAAGGATTGCAATGCTTCCATTCGGAAGCAAAAACACTTATTCCCAAGATATCTACAATAAAAAGGATGCAATTTTTCCTCTCTCGTCTTTAAAAAACCACTTACCATTCTTAAGAATGAACCTCTCATCAGAAATGACACTAATAACCGATCCCACAGATTCCGGTGAGGAAACCCCACTCGAGTCGCTATCGAGATCATCAGTCTCCGGATTGAATAACTCAAGTGACAGTAGCCTGGGCAATGTCCTGGCAACGGACTCGAGCCTTCCAGAAGTAGCAGTTGATGCACGTCTCACCAGTGGAAACGCCGGTTTCGTACACCTAGTAGCAAAGCCAGGTTTCTGCTTGAGTAACTCTTTGATCTGATTCAGCCTGAACTTTCTACTGTCATCGTCGTTGATGGACTCGTTGCTCGAGTGTTCAGGCGCCTCTCCGCTGTCCACCAAGAGTGGCGTTGAGTCCCCGATGGTGGTGGCATCGTTCTGATCAACCGTCGTCGTCATTGATCGATATCCCCTCAGCACAGACAGACTCGGCGTTTTGCTTAGAACAGCCTCATCACTCTGAGCACTCTTAGCCTGTATCTCCAATGCTTCTGTCCTCTTCTTACCCTCCACCTCCAACTTTTCAACAACAGGCACTTCATTCTCAATAGTTTTTCCTTCATTCACCTCGATTTTCGGAATTCTCGAACACTTTTCACTCCCAGCAGCCTCGGCCTTTTCAATAAAAACTGAAGTGCAATCTTTATCTTTTGTTAAAAATTTATCTAAACTGGGGAGAACTGAGATACTCTCACTCTTGACATCCCCAGATACCTGAGGACATTCTGACTTGCTCATCGAGGCCTTATCAAAACTGTAGGAAAGTGGATTGTTCTGATAATTCGATCCAAAAAATGGCCTTGAGTTCACAGAATTCACGGTCCTCGGAGATAATCCTGGGGGACTGGGTGGAGGTAAGGATTTGCTCGTTGCTGGAAATTGTTTCAACAGGGGAGATCTTGAAATGAGTTTGAACCTGGGACCGTGGAGGTCTGGAGGATGTTTCACTCTGGGTGATGGGGGGGCTGAAGTTGCTCTCAACTGGTAGCCACAGGGAGTCGTTCCCATGACGTCGATCAAGGGTGGTGCCTCCTGCTTTGGCACGTATATGACGGAGGCGAAGCTGTCCTCTGAGTCAACACTCGTGTCGCTCTGTAAACTGCTGTCTTTTGAGGAGTCAGAGCCGTCTTCCTTCGACAATCGCCTCTCGATTGTGTCGGGTTCTTTTTTTACGGTGGGGACAGGCTGGACATTCTTCTCGTTCAATTTGTTCTTCATGGCCTCGGCATTCGTCTCGGACTCCTCAGGATTCGACTCTGATGATTTCCAGCTCTGCAGCATTTTGACGAAGCCATTCTTTATGGACAAGGTCGTCACCTTTTCCATGCTCGTTGTTGACTGCTTCAGACGACTCGTAAGGCCACTTTTCAGGAGTTGGAATCGTCGACTAGCTGCGTTGGATGACAGAGAGTCCCGGAAGTGCTCGAGGGTGGGATGCTTGCAGATTATTTCTTCGTTCAGTGATGCTTGTTTCATTATGTTACCACGCACACGTTCACGCTCCATCAGTCGCTCCATTGACATCAATTCCTCGTTCATTGAACTCTGCTTGTGGACGTTGGGGCGCTTCGAGGAGAGTGCTGAGGGTTGCTGGAAATAAATTTCATTGGGTTGGTAATTCAATCGGCTGGGGAGTAGCTGATGATAATGAGGAAAATTGGACGTTGTTAGCATGTGTACGTTCATTTCGGTAAGTAATTTTAAGGGCAATGTTGGGGGACATTTTGCTAGCTGAGACCCTTTGTATAAGGGTGGCACGTATGAAAAAATTGACCAGAAAACTTGCCGAATTCACTAGAAAATTGTATTTGTTTTTTACGCTAAGTCTGTGAGATATTTGATAGGAAAAAGTCAATCGATTTCGATATTTCTATGTGAATATTCTTTTGGAATTTTTTCCATAAAAGTACTTGGGCATGAATTTTCTAATTTGTCACTCGGATCCTATAATGCAAAATAAAAAAAAATAGTGAAAAAAAACGTAGAAAATCCGTGCCCAATAATTTTAATAGAAAAAATCTCAAGAGAAAAATGCAAACAGAAAGATCGAAATCTATTGACTTTTTCCTATCAAATATCTAATAGAATCTGGGCAAAAAAACAAGTAGAACTTTAGCGAGAATTCCCTACAATTTTAATAGAATTTCTAGAGAATTTCAATAGAATTTTTTAGCGAATTCGCTAAGGTTTTCTATTAAATTTTTTCATACGTGGGCTTACAACATTTAAGGCCCGAATGGATCACTTCCGAACAAACATTATCTCGATTGTTTTTTCATTTTTATAATCTAAAATATCCCCCAATTGCCCTTTAATTTTATATTACGCAGGAGTTCCTATAAATTATCATTGTACGATCAACAAAAAAAAAATAGAAAAAATTGAACATTAAGGAATTAGTTCAATGTAGAAAGGATATTGTAGAAAGAATGCAAAGTGAAAATTACTGAGAACTAAAATTTTTTCTTTGATTCGGAAAGAAATTTCACTGGAATCCAGTACTTTTTGTGTCTCGATTTTAGATCACGCAAAATAATCTCTGCAAAAAGAATTCAGTACTTAATTAATGAAGATTATTTGAGGAGACATGCACGTCAATTTGAGAACATCAAGTTCTTGTTTCAAGAACGTCAGGATTTCTGATTTTAGTGACCAACAGTTCTTATTTTAAGAAGCCCAGAATTCTTGGTTTCAATGACCAACGGTTCTTAAGTTAAGAACTCAAGTACTGGATCCTAGAGAGAAAGTGCCTTTATTCAACTACCATGGGTGCTGGATTTCAGTAAAGATTACTGGAAACTAAATCTTTTTCTTTGATTCTGACAGAAATTTCACTGGAATCCAGTACTTTCTGTCTCTCGTTTCTAGTATCACGTAGTACTGAAATCCAGAGACAGTTACTGCAAACTATATTTTTTTTTCTCTCTATGAAAACAATTTAGTACTTAAGCCTAGATTGGTCACCCTATGGGGGAAACGCCGCCGCGCGTCGTTTTTCTCTAATTACAATTGACTGGCTAACCGGAAAAATTAAAAAAAATTGACTTTGTCAATTGAAGTGTCTGAAGAATTATAGTAGTTTTTAGAACAACGTATTTCCCAAAAATCCTAAAAAAATAAATTATTTCGGACAGATGAATTATTTTTTCCCATGTGAAATGAAATTACCCATGACGCGACGTTGCCGGAAACTCGCTAAACGCGCCAGGGCAGTGTAGAGTGAATTCGGCAACGCTAAAGGCTAAATATCACTGCGGCGAATCTCCGCGGAGGTGACCAACTCGCAGGGTCGTGTTAGGCGACCGGACTAGGGCTAACAAGGGTGTCGCCTAAGTTCTGATGTCACGCCATAATTAATGAAGAAAATTTGAGGAGACATGGATATCAATTTGAGAATGTCAAGGTTCTTATTTCAAGAACCCCAGGATTCTTAAATTCAGTGACCAACGGTTCTTAATTTAAGAATCCAAAGTATTGAATTCCAGAACTAAATGCCTTGATTCCAGTACCATAGGTGCTGGATATCCGTAAAGGTTACTGAAAACTAAATGTTTTTCTTTGATTCTGAGAGAAATGTCACTAGAATCCAGTATTTTTTATCTCTCGATTTCAGTACTGAACTCAAAAGACTGTTGCCGAAAACCAGAAACTGTTTTTCTCTGTGAAAATAATTCAATACTTAACAAGATGTGAAAAATCGATTAATTCTCTTCTGCGGCGTTTTATCACTTATTACCTGGAGTCATTAATCCAGGTAATTAAAAGCAAAATGGGAACATGAGTTAATAATTACATTCGATGGCAATTCTGGAAGATCCTTGACAAGTTCTTGAATGGCAGTGTTCTCAGGGACCTCCAGACACGTATCGTCCATCAGGTGGGTCTTTTGTTTGACTAATCGTGGCTTGTACGAGGCGAGTGGTGGTGTCGCTGATTGCTCGTCTAGATTGAGTTCTGATGTCACTGTCGAGCATAATCCTGGGATACTTGATCGCGATCTGACGAGATCGAGACGCTGGATCTCGAGGATATCGCCTAGGCTCTTTGACTTCATGCTCAGGGTGTCTGTTGGCTTGGTGATGGTGGGATTCTCGTCTTCGAGACGACGTAGCTCAATGGGGATGTCGTCGGCGTCTGCACACTCGTCGGACTCGAAGTTGTGGTGACGGTTTTTACAGCCTGCGTTTTGGAAACTCTCTAGAAACCAAGGACGGCTGCCAGAACCTCTCTTGCCTCCGGCCAGTTTCTGGAAAATTGAGGAATGGATGAGTGATTGATGAACGGAAGAGATGAAATGGTAGAGGATATGTATACGAAAGTTTGTAGTAGAACCCGACGAATTCTCTGGAAAATTCTATTGAATTTCTATTGAATTTTCTATTAATTTTTGGCCGATTCTATTGACAAATTCCGCAGTTTAGCTATTTTTTCGATAGAAATTTCCAATGGAAAATATCTCTCTATATTATAAAAATCCAAATCGACTTCCGGTGATAAAAATTTAGTACTCGAAATTAAGACTCCGCACTGAAAGGTCACAATAAGGGTCACAAGGTTCAAATTAAGGTTCCTAAGGGTCAAAATAAGGGTCATAAGGGCCAGAATAAGGGTCACGAGGATCAGAATCATGGTCATGAGGGTCAGAATAAGGGTCACGAGGGTTAGATTAAGGGTCAGAATAATTGGCGGGCGGAGCGACTAGGGGGTGTAGCCCCCTAGTCCTATAGAAAAATCAATAGAATAATGCTGGTGATTTGATGGAAAGGAAGAAGATAGAGTGGAAAAAACTTGGAAAATTCATGTCGAAGAATTGCTATAGAAAATGTCTCAACAGAAAAAGTATAGAAGAGATAAAATTCTACGGATTTTTTCTATAAAATAGTTTCTATTGGACCCTTTCTATGAAAAAACGCGCAGAAAAACCGCGGAATTGTTCAGTAGAATCGGTTAAAAATTAATAGATATTTCCAAAGAAGTTCAATAGGAATCCAATCGAGTTTAATAGGAATTCACAATCGAATTCGCTAGACATTTAGGTGAAATTTTTTCGTGTGTGAGAGCAGTAAAATGTGTAAGCATCTTGGTGAAGAGTGATTTCAAGGGGCAACAATAAGAGATCTCTCCTTTATAAAAGAACATATTCCACGAAAGTAAGTGTTTATTACCGATACAATTTAACGAATGGAAAAACAGTTATGAAGGTGTAAATACGAATCAGATAATTGTAAAATAAGTTGTCAATAAATATCTCTGAATGTAATGGACAATAAAATTTTCATAGAGATCTTGTTTTTAGATCTTTTCGCTCTAGAGAAAAGGTCTTAAGATGATTTCTCCCGGCGTCACTCATCACCAAGATAATTTAACAATGGAAAATGGAGACGTAAACTGAATCAGGATGAGCAAACTTAATAAGATCACGATAAATATCTGTAAACTCAATGGAGATAGGAAAATTTTCATACGAATTTTGTTTGTAGATCCCACTTTTTTTAGAAAAAAAGTACTTCGATGGTTTTCCCTATATTTTCGTTGACTACCGAGGTGATAGCACCGAAGTGATAAAACATGATAAGTCAACGTAAGGATATTCAAGTATATTTTCTACACTATAGATTCAACCATTTTCAATCAACAAATTTGTCAATTCAATTGCGTGAGAAGAATTTGAAAAAATCATGAGTATTCGTTATTCAAATCCAATTCTGCACAGAATTATTATTCCTTCTGATTGTAATCGCCCAATTTTCACATTCTCTAATTTTGATTGGAAATGGTATAGAATAGTCTGCAACATGAGAAAAAAAATGTTTGCCAAATATCCATTTACTTGAGTGCAGTATTTAGGACGTTCTCGATAGGATTCTATCAAGAATTCAGATATATCCTATGGCATATGGCTATGGAGGAATTTACATTTTTCTTTGGTTTTCGTTGGTTTTTACGATAATTCTCTTGTCGTTCTTTGATAACAGTTTACAATTTGATAGGGATCATGCATTGTTGGAAAAAAATTGAAATTTTATGATTAGTTAACGATTATTTTGGAGGAGAATGCCATTAAATTCGATTTAGGGGCAACAAATTAAGAAATTTCCGATTGCACTGAGAGTTCCACGAAATTTCAATTTTTTAGACAGCAGAAAAACGGGGATTTACCGACTTACTGGAATTTTCAATCAAAACATGAATATTCAGTACCAACTCACACAGAGTTTTCAATTAATTCAAAATCAAAGAATATATTTGCCTGGATTTTCTCGATTTCAATCAATTTTCATGAAATTACTAAACTGAAATTTGCAGTTTCCATTCATTTTTCCAGAACAAATTATTTTCTAATGATGAAATTTCTGGGAATTCCAGTAGAATTATAATGTGATACAGATTTTCAAAAAATGTACCGAACATTTTTGCCAAGAATTTTCAACAGCGTTCAAAGGTTACTAACTTGAACGGAGTAAATTCAACTTGGATATCCTTAATGGCTTCATTATCTGCCGAACGTCATCTAGACTGCTTATTTGTTCGATTTTTATCTCAAAATTTCTACTCGATGTCCCGTCACTCAGACATCCCTGACAATTATAAATTTGGATTGAAAAAAAAAGTAAAAAAAATACTGAACATTTTGAAAGAGTGTCTTTAATTAATATTGACGAATGAGTTTAATAAAGGAGATATGAATAATGTATAATTACGGTGGCAAATGGCGACCTGTCAGTCACCGCCATGGGGGGAGGAAAGACGAACTAATTAATCCTTTGGCACAGCGCAACCAAACGATTGTACGAAAGAAGACTCTTTGAAAATTTTTGTAATATTTTCAAAAAAATTTTGATCACACTTTTACGATGAACTACTAATTACTTACACCAATCTCTTCAATTGAAAATTGTACTGTCCATCAACCGTCACTTTTGTCGGGGGCGCAAAAAAGGAAGAAAGACCGATTTTTCTATGTCTTCAATTCCCGGGCAAAGTGATGACTGATCGCCAGTACAATTATATCTGGCCCTACCAGCATTCAACGTTACCCAGGGTTCGCGACGCGAACGCAGCTGGTATGAACACCAAAAAGGCCCACATTATGAAAATTCAGAGATGGTATATGAATTTGAAAAATAAATATGAAAATAAAATAATAGGGGATTATAATATTTGTGGCCGCAGTTGTATACTGAAACCGCCAAAGGATTTATTATTTCGTCTTTTCGCTTCGATGGTGACTATATGGTAATTATATATTATTTCTGTCTCCTCTATTGACATAATTCCTCAATATTAATTAAAAACGCTCTTTCAAAATGTTTAGATTTTTTTTACTTTTTATAAAATCTAAATTCAGAATTTTCGGATGTCCCCGAGTGACGGGGCAACGAGTTGAAATTTCGACATAATCGAACACAAAAATCAATTTAGATAAGGTGCGGCAGATAATGAAGCCGCGCCTCAAGTTGAATTTTTCTATATTTCTTCTTTGAGTAAGTGACTATTAATGTATTATTATTAAAGATGTTCACTGTTTTTCAATACTGTACATGTTGAATCCGATTGAATTCATTTATTAATTTAGGGGCGAGTGGGGCAAATGAAACAGCCGAAAAACAACTATTTGATGCAATTCAAGTAAAAAAAAATTTGTTTTCAATACTGAATAATATATTTTTTTATTACTGGGAGTACTGATGAGAATAATAATTTTCTATTCGTCTTATGATTCAATTGATTATTTATTTCAATTGATTAGATTAGGCTGATTTCACTTTTCTTTTTTCATTCGATTGAAATTCACCATCACATTTTCCTTTTTCGCCCTGGGCCATGCTCTGGACTTTGGATTTAGCTGTTCATTTTCTTTTCAATTAATCCATTGACAAAATCTTCTCCCACCAAAACTTCTCAATAATTTTCCATTCTACTGAATGGAAAATTATTATTCTCATCAGTACGCCCAAGAATAAAAAAAAGTTAATAAACAAAAGTTGATAACAAAATTTAATAAAAGAAAATTTTTTTGCTTGAATTGCGTCAAACAGTCGTTTTTTGACTGTTTCATTTTGCCCGACTCTCCCCTATTTATTTATTATTTATTGACATAACAGCATAAGGCCAATTATAGGGTCCAATTAAATGCATTCGTTTATACATGCTAAATTTAAATGTTTAATCCCATGTACATAACGGAGGTACGGTTGAGTCACGTTAATCATAAGAAAAAAAAGAGGTAAGTTACGAAAGTGAAGATTTGAATTGAATGTTCTTGGAGTTATTGAACATTGTCTTTTTTACTCCAACGTCTCACACTAAAAATTTTCCTGTGGAGAACCCCGTTATCTACAGGATATCAGCAAATTCTCCATAGAATCTTTCTATCCCCATTTCTTACACGTGTCGACCTATGCTGTTTACCACTGAATGAAAAATGCAAAAGAGCTTCTATTTACCTGAAGAGCACGACGAAAGAAGCTGTAACACGTTTCATTGGGACTGGATAAACTGCTAGTGGATGGTGAGGGGCTGAATATTGGATCGATCCAATAACTTCTACTCCTGCATTTCTGGCCATCCGTTGATCTTTTATTCGATCGCAGCATACACTTGGGTGGATTATCCCTGCGTGTCCGGTTTGAACAGGGGACACCAGACACCCCACAGTGGCACGATGAGTTCAGGCAGTAGGCTTTGGGCCATGGCACCAGGACATCCTGCGACTCGAATTTCCGGTGACGCTGTTCCATCGCCCATACTGATATCACGAGTTTGCCACCGATTCTGAGGACTCGGGCCAGTTCTTTGAGGGCATTTACACGTCTCTCTGTCGTTGCAAAGTGGTGGACAACAGCTATTGAGAGAACTGCGTCGAAACTCTCGTCTCGGAATGGCAACGAGAGATTGTCGCATATTAGGACCTCGTTTTCCTTCTCTCTGGCTATGTCGGTTAAACGCTTGCATCTATCACCACCGATTTTGAAGATGTTGTTGTTGACGCTGAGGTACTTCCCATTTCCACAGCCTGGATTTTTTTTTTTTTTTGAGAAAAGGAAACTGTTTAGTTACGTTTTAACGAAAATTATGGTTTTGTGCTTTCATCTTTTTTGTCTATAATTGTGGATTAAGTAAATAGGGCTGATGAAGAGTTGCTAATGAACTCGAAACTCTTTTGTTTTTGTTTTTTTAACTTCCCGATCTATCGGGTAGTTATTGTAATCACCCTGAAAATGAATCATTATTTTTTTGCGATTTCTTCACGTTTCTCGGTATCTAAAACACTTCTGAACACTTCTAAACAACATGTCTGTATGTGTGTGTGTGTGTGTGTGTGTGTGTGTATGTAGGTCTGTATGTCACGGAATTTTCGGTAACGATTTTTCCCGAATGAATCGCGCGATCAAGATGATGGATGACGCAATCGAAAGGTCTTCATGTAACTTAGAGCTGATTAGATTTTGGAGTGATTCACTGCAGTGGTTCTTCCAAAATTTCCTGGAGAAAAGTTTGAAAATGGCTAAGATAAGTATTTCTCCTGTATAAATGACGTGATTGGAATTGTCAACATCAGGGTATCACTAGAATCAATCACTCCAGTGAATTCTCCAGGATTTGCTGAAACTCCAGCGGTTTTTCCAAAATTTCCTGGAGAAAAGTTTGAAAATCGCTCAGACAAGGGTTTCTCATGAATAAATAAACAAAGTATTGAGAGTTGAAAAAGATTCTTTTAGTCAAAATGGGAGGAGTAATAATATCGGGAAGTTGTTGGTGCGACCCGTCGGACGGGTCAGACCCACATGAATACATCCGCTACCAACACACCCGCAATGGGAGCGAGCGCAGCGAGCGACCAACAGCTCAATCCACTACTTATTTCAGTATTCGATTCGATTTCTAGTGAGCTTCTACTCAAAATTCTATTAGTTTTTGGTCAATTCTGTTGAACAATTTCGCAGATTCACTGCGCGTTTTTTTTTTATAGAACATGTCCAATAGAAACTATTTCGTTGGGGAAGAATGTTTTCTATTGAGACATTTTATATAGGAGTTCCTCGAAATGGATTCTCTCATTTTTCTCACTCAATTTTTGCCAAGGGTCAAAAAACGCTTTTTCGCAGTCATATTGAAATATACTGTTAGTGTTGCATCGAAAAATATACCGAAAATAAAAGCTTCCATTTTCTTTGCATCTGTGGAAGAAAAAGAAGCGCTTGTTTGTGGAGCACTCCCTCCGTGTAAATATAAAGGCTAGTGGTAGTTTCAGGAATGATAAAAATTTCTCTACCATAGTGGAATGATTCGACGTTCAAAGGGTGACAATATTAAAAAATCTTACACAGTAAAAAATCCAGATTGAACTTCGACTCTGAGTCCACATCAACCGGAGTGAAAATAACAGGGACCTGGATCGCGTTTCTGTTTCGGTTTCGTTCCTCAGGTAAGAAATGATAGTAAATTGTAACGTTACTGTCAGGAACGAAATTCAGGAACGAAAGTTGACTAACGTTACCGCTAGGAACGAAATTTAGGGACGAAAATTGAATAATATTACCGCCAGGAACGAAATTCAGGAATGAAAGTTGAGTAAGGTTACCGCCAGGAACGAAATTCAGGAACGAAAGTTGAGTAATGTTACCACTAGGAACGAAATTCAGGAACGAAAATCGAGTAACGTTACCACCAAGAACGAAACCCTGAAACGAAAGTCCGGTAACGTTACTGCCTGGAACGAAATGCCGGAACGAAAGTCGACTAACGTTACCACTTGAAACACAAGCGCGTAACAAAAGGGAAATAAAATCGCTGCTCGGGCCGAAATATGGACATGAAAATTTGAAAATTGAGTTCATTCGTAACTTATGGTTTCATTTCGAACGGCAAAATGAATGGTGCGGATCGGGAATTTTTCCTAAAGAATCGAGTTGATATGAAAAAAAACATGAATATGAAATTTCCCATGATTTTGTTACAGATAAAGAAGGTTCATTGGGGTTCGTTTTGGGGTGGATTTATTTCATTGAGATATTCACTATGAAAATTTCTGGGCTATAAACGGGGCGACGTTAATGAAAATTCATTTTCAAAAAAAGTCCACACCATCTTTCGGTGTGAATGTACGGAGTTGATTCATTCCGGAGTGAATTACAGCGAGTAGAGTGAAAATTGCCATTGCCATGGTGTCAAAATGAACATACTAACACAGTTCGGTGTGAAAAATAAAGATGGACTCCCTACTCCCTACCAAAATTTGACTTCGAGCGAGAGAGTTAATTTTAACACCAAAATATTCAACCCCACACACCAGAGACAGTAACACCAATCACATAATTATCTAATAAATCAAGGAATGTCTTCTCAATATTAAGTTCATGAGTTCTTTCTTTTTCCGTATTCTGTGTAGCGAGAAACGAGATTGAAAATATGTGATAATTCAACAAATATGAAGATAAATGATTGGGAGATTGTGATATTTTTAAGTCAGGTAGTTTTCACAATCAACTCACGTATTTACATCGCTTTTTATCGTTACTTGTGATTGATCACTTGAATTCCCATATCTATTTCCTATTCCAAGATATCCTCGAAAAAATAATCTTCGAAATCAAATTGAAGTTGAATTGACTGCAAGATGAGTTTTTGATGAATATCTCTGCATATAAAGGAGATATCAAAATTTTAATAGAACCCTTAAGACCCTTTAGACCCTTTCGACCAGAATAAGAGCTAAAAATAACTGTGCACAAAATTCACCGTCCCAATTCAGTGTCAAGATATTGAAACAAAAACTTATCTTGAAATAGAATTGAGTTATTAGTCACCACTTAGTCCATTCATTATCTGTTGAAATGCGCAGGAAAATGCTGGATACAAGGAAAAATATGTTTCTGAGAATAGAGTAATTATTTTTCGAGCTGAAGCAATATCGAATGGAAAGTAATGATATCCTTAATGGGCCACCTAGTACATTTGAGTGTTATGGCCGCGCATCGCCAGAGCGAATCGATTTCTTTGTGAGGAAAATTCGAATGCTAGTGTAATCTTCTCGTGCACCCCGCGGGAACGCCTCTCTTTCTTTTTCACTGCCCCTCTCCTATTATTTTTTTATCCTCGATTTTTCCCATCTGTATGCATCCGGAGGTCAATTATCGATCCTCTTTTGATGTCGGTGTGGTAATACCCACGAAAAATAAAAGGAAGGAACGAAAATGGTGCACTTTTTTCCACCGATGACTTCATGCTTGTTTTGGGGAAATGGAAAATCGAGGGGAAATCACAGAGTTTGATTCGGAGCCTGTATTTAAATATAGGTGGGACTGGGAGTTGAACGAGGTCGGTTCAGTTGATTAATGCATATCGAATGTTTCAGGCTTCTCGGATTTATTTAGCGTCATGCATTATCGAGATGATTCACAATTGAAAATGCCGTCGTGCAGTAGTCTGACAAGGTAATCTCGTGTGGAACATTCTGTAGGAGGATCCTATAGAAAATTCGGATATTTTCTCTTTCTTTTTTTCTCCAGGAAATCCAACATCACACTATATTAAAAATTTCTTGAAATTTCAGCCACAATGTCATCTGAATTTCCAATGTTGTGAGTTTGAATTCAATTTCAATTGAAAACGTTCACTAAATTTCTCATTCATCTTGAAAATTCAAGAAAATTTGATTCTTCATATTAAAAAACCATTGATTTTTCAATGAAAGCTTGAATTTTCAAATTCATCGTGGAAATTGAACATCAAACATAATTGAATTTTCAATAGATTGAAAATTAAGAGAAGTTATTGCTTGAATTTTCAACATTATCAAGGTTTTTCAGTGCCGTATGGATCTGAAAATCGAGAATTACTTGAATATTCAAGAAATTAACTGATTTGTCAATAAAAAGAATTCTACAGAAATTTCATGTAAATTTATCGTTGTTAAAAATTTTAAGTTTTTTCACTTGAAATTTCAAGTGTAATTTTCTAATAGTGCATGATTCCATGGGAAATTCGAAAATAATTTATTTGAATTGCTGAGAGCCCGCTTATGAAATTAGATTCCATGTGGAAAATGTTCCAAGAAGAGTTCCTTGAAGAAGCGTATTTTATAAAGATTTTGATCTCAGGTATAAAAAAATCCATGGCAAATACTAGAATATTTTATGGGATTTTTATGAAAAATTCTATTAGTTTTTCACCGATTCTGTTAAAAAAATCCGTAGTGTCATTTCATATATTTTTCGGAGAGTGTTACTGAGTTTTTACACTTCATTTTTTTGCCTTTCATGCAAAAATGTAAATAAAAAAAGTTGGAAAATTCAGGCTGAGAAATTTTTATGGAAATTATCTGAACAAAACAATTATCGAGATGATTCATAATTTACATTGCAGTCGTGAAGTCGTTTTAGAAGATAATCATGAGAATTCGTGAAAGATAATACGTGTACTATGGAGAATTCGAACATTTACTTTTTCTTCCTTATATAGGTAGTTCTATAGCACGATCTCATGGACTTCGAAAATATCTTATTCGAACCGCTGAGGGTTGTACGTATGTTAAATTAAGTTTTTTTATAAAATGTTTCTTGGAGAATTCTTTGTAGAGTACGTCGAAAATTCGCAGACAAATCTAGACCAAGTAAAAATGAAGAAGTACTCGAATTTTATTGAACTTTTGTTAAAAATTTTACGGGTTTTTCGCCGATTCTATTAGAAAATTTCTCTTTTTATTTTACACAAATTTCTTTTCTTTTTTCGTTCAAACATTCCAGTAACAGAAATTTCGAAAATTCAGGCCGCAGAATTTTTATAGAAATAATCTCAAGAGAATAACTTATGCAGGAAGATCACATTCTGTTGATTTTTCTTACGCAATACATTTCTTTATATCTCTATCGAAAAAAGCTTGAAAAAGCTGCGGAATTTGCGACAAAAACGAATGCACTATTTTCTTTTCTACGGAATCAAAAAAGGGATCATTGATAATTAAAATTGAAAAAACAGTTCAATATGCAACCGATTGATTAATCCACATCACACGTTTCAATCTTCACTGGAAACGCATTTTTTCTGTTTTTTTTTTCTATATTCATACCCGGAGACGAATTATCGGATTCCAATCAGCACACGTTGGATATCTCTGGCATTAATTAAATTTCATCGACCCAATTTAACAGATTCAAAGTTCAGTTCCGGAATTTAACTCTTTTTTGAAGATTAAAATTTAAAATAACTTTTAAACGAAAATTAATATGGATGAAAACAGTCTGGTTGAGTTTGTGCTCAATCTGCAGTCTCGTATCTCTCTATATTATAAAAATCCAAATCGACTTCTGGTGATAAATATTTGGTACTTAAAATTAAGACTCCCAAATTAAGAGCCGCAAGGGTCATGAGGATCAAAATAAGCGTTATAAGGGTCACGAGGGTCTCGAAGGTCGGATTAAGAGCCACAAACGTCAGAAGAAGAGTACAAATAAAGGTCACAAGGGCCAGATTAAGAGTTATATGGGTCAGATTAAGGGTCACAAGATTAAAGGTCAGAAGGGTTAGATTAAGGGCCCAAATAAGGGTAACAAAGGTCAGATTAAGGGTGTAAATAAGTGTCACAAGGATCAGATTAAGGATTGCAAGAGTCAGAGTAAGGGTTCAAACAGGGGGCATAGCGATCAAACACCCAGCGTCAGAAACTAAGGGTCACCAGGGTCAAAATAAGGGTCACGAGGGGTAGAATGACGGTCAGAATAAGGGTGACGAGGGTCAGATTAAAGGTCAAAATAAGGATCACGGGATCATATGGGAAGCATATGAGGGTCACGTGGGGGTTGGCGAACGGAGCGAGCAGTAGGCGTAACCCCCTAGTAATTAATAATAATTACTTTGGAAGGGCCGAAATAATAAAGTCCTATGAGAAAATGAACTTTTCAAGGATACGAAAAAGTTTAAAATCGGCAGAAAATCTCGAAGAATCAGAAAAAATTGATAAACATTCTACACCTAATATGGAAGTTATAATCAGTGTCAAACTTTTGTAATAAATAATCGATGCTTCTCGCTGCCCCTAAATAGAGTATTGTATGAAAGTGGCAGCGCTGCGTTGTTTGAGCGCTGACCGCGCTGTATGAAGCGGGAAGCAATTTCGAATGTACAGGGTTACCGCTGATCGGAACACCTTAGTCAAACGACAGACTATTGTTCAAACATAATTGAAGGAATAATTTGATGGATTAATTTCTGATATTCATCAAAGCTAGAATTCATATAAAAAATTCTCAATGATGAATTATTCATTTGGACATTCCAAATTTCTTTTTCTGGTTATACTCAACTACGCAAGTGGAGTTTATTCATACTACTTCAAATGATGACACAATGAGGGAATCCCCGCCGTTTATCGATTTTTTTTTACACAAAAACTTCCTAAGTTCGATTTTTTCTTTTGACACAAAACATTCGCAAAAATTTGTATTGTTATATTCGAATGTGTTGAATACATTGAAATTGTTTTTAGGTCCAGACTTACACAAATGAATTATTCAAATTTTTTGAAAACTCGACTCACGGAAAATTCTCGTGTTTAATTTCAAAATTTCAAAATTTGGCACTCAATGAGATCGAGTTCTTGGTCTATCTGACGACTGTTTCTCTTTTATATCCCAATTTCCTATTCATTGAAGGTTCAAAATTACCCATTAACGAGGAATGAACTATTTTTTGCAATTTATTTTTTCATAAAATGGTAAAATGCATGAGACGGGAACTCTTTTACCATGCGATCAACTACGTTCGGTGAAGAGTGGACCGTTTGAGAATTGATAATATCTTGATAAAATTATTCGACAAATGAAATTTATCGAAAGGTCAATTGTAATTCATCACGATTACTCCTTAATAGAATATTCTAGAAATGGTTCATGAAGAAAAAAAAGGCTTTTCGATGAATTTAAAAAGCAAACGATTAACTTCGGTAACTATGCCATTATCCCGTTAAGGTGTTTCGTGTAAAAATTAAAAATAATGAAAAAAATTGGAAAATTCATGGAAGAAATGTCTGAGTATGTTGCATCATTAAGAATTCTTGCACATTTTTTTCAGATCTCAGTGAGAAGAAAAAAAATAATGAAATTCTGATTATTTTGTGACCCCTCAAGCTATAACCTCCGAGGTTACCCCACTCTTAATTAGGAAAATTTCCATGACACCCAAAAAAATACTGAACTATTGAGGAAAAACTGGTGGGTGATAAATCACATCTTGAGAACACGTATAAGTTTCAGATTTTTTTCAGATTTCATAAGAAAGTTATTTGAACCAATGATTCGGAAAATTAATGAGCTTCGGGGCACTTACGCTCTCACGAACAGGCGCGTGATTCGAATGTCAGTGCGCATCATGGGAAAGATATGGGTTGGACCATGGAACTAAGAGAGAGAAAACACTCGTCAGGTTTATCAACTCGAGACGCATTTGAAGATTATTTCAATAACTAGAAAAACATCTAATAAAAATTATTTGCCACCCGTAGGTGATGAGAAAAAAATGAATCAATCTGATGAATAAAATCAATATTTAAGGATGTTTAGTCAGTCTCGGTGAATTGTTGGTAAATGTGTTTTTCCGTGGTCAAGGAAAATTCTGTAATTATTTCGGCTGACAGCAGAACATATAAAACTAACTTTTCCAACTTTAAAAAAAAATTAATCTCAATGGTCTCGGCAGAAATGAAGAAACTAATTTTTTCTTATACACGAGCTCTTATGAAATTTATGTTCAAATTGATAATTCACCTACTAGAAGCCTCTAAAAATAGAAATAAAAATAGAAGGTAATGTGTAAAATCATACTGAATCCAATGGTCAGAGAAAAATCTGAGGTACCCGGGCAAAAAGAGGAAATATTTGAATGATTCTATTACATATAAGCGCATGTTAGCGCATGCATTCGGTGCATTTTGTCTATTTCATATCTAAATAATGAACATGGGTTGGTCGATTGAAATTTGTATCAAAGTGAAGGGAATATCTTCATCTCTCAGTTGAAAAAAAATCAATTTTTCTTTAAGTACTTGCGGTTTTGGATAAACATCCTTAAAAAATGTTGAAATGCACACTTAAATAATTACTTGAAAATTAGAAAATTTCGTGCTCGGCGAGTGAATCAGGGTTCAAGAACAATAAGACTCTCCTTCCGTTTCCCCCCCCCCCCCCCGGATGATCTACACACGAAACACCTTAATAAATGCTATTCAAAGGAAATGGCGAGATATTTTGCGTAGCTAACAGAATGTTCTATAAGGTCCTACACATTTATCTGAAAATCATTCGTTATGGATACAATTCAGTAGCGAAATGGTAAAACGGTTTAAGTCGACTTATCTCCCAGTAGCGAAATTTTCGTAATTACATTTATTGTAGCTCTCAGTCGGCTCTACAAAAAAGGTTACAATAAAAATTTTGCTATCTCCCTTAGATTCCGAGATATTCATTGAAAACTGGTCAATAGTCAAAATTGATTTGTACCGTTTTACCACTTCGCTACTGAATTGTGATATAAGTTGCCTTATCAAATACCTATTGACATATTTCCCATGCTCACGGGGGAAAAAGTATACGAAAAATGACTACATAATCCAGGTAATCGGAACATGAAATCGTATTGTACGATTTTTTTTAAGTGAAGGAAAAAAACTGAGGCAGAGGACAAATTTTTTCTCAATTTTTCCTAACAAGCCGAATAAGCTGCAGAATTAAAAAAATGTGAAAACTTTCGGTAGAATTCCAACCAAATTTCCTAATAAACATTTTTTAACATGTAATAAATTTACCTATATCACAGACGAGTGCCCCAGGCTCGAGTTCCTCAAGAAATTTGTAGATCCGTGGCCAGTGTTTGCTCTGTGCGGTCTTCTCAGCACATTGTTCATAAACCTCGTGAACATAAGCCTGCTCCAAGGCCATAGACCTAGCCGCCTGTTCTCCGTCGCTCTCAGACATCACTCACCGATCCAAGGTGGCTCGGCCTCATCCACAAGTGTGGCCAGAGTGCTGAAACATTGAAACGTCCCAAATCACTACCCAGACCATAAACCCTTGAGCAACAGCCCCACCTCTCCGTCCCCATTCACCATTAAAATATCTCCAGAACACTTTTCAAATTAAAAAAAAATTGATCTCCCTCGATTAAAAAACGAAAAAAGTTTTATTTCAGTCTCAAGAATTTTTCAAAAACTTCAAACATGAAAATTCCCCGGAAGGCATCCACAGTAGAACAATTCCTGCAGTACTCGTAGTATTCGTTTTTCCATACGAATTTTTTCACCGCTCGAGGGCCCATTGTGGCACTGTCCAACTCTTCTTGATGTCTCCTCCTTCTCCCTCAAGTGTCTCACGTTGTACGCCTGACACCAGCGTAAAAACTCGGCCGAGTCCTCATCCCTGACGAAAGTCACAATAGCCCACAGGGTACAAAGATTTTTCGAGCTCTTTTTACGTGTCTGGAGGTAAACCTGGCAAATGTCCAGGAATAGTATCAGATCCACCACTCTCTTCTTATCCATCAATAAGTGCCTCTCCTGTTTCACTGATTCTGCTCCATTAAATGTTGAAATTGTCCTCGAGACTAGTTCCGCTTGTCCCAAATAAGTAGTAGAAACGAAGATTCACGAGGCAATTAAATCTTTTCTATTACGAAATTGCCAGGATAAAAAATTATATTGGCCCACAATATTGGCCTATTTCTCAACTGAATAAACTTCAAACTGCTAGCCAGTTGACCTTGACTAATTAACGCGAGTCTGAAGACACCTGAAGTAATTAATTATCCAGAATGTCGAGCATTGAAGTACAGTCGACCTCAATTAGTCTTTCGTCACCTTTGATGATACTTCTGCTGCTCGTAAAAACAAGACTCGAGTGGTAACTCAAGATGTGAGATATATTTTCACGTGTCGACATAACGTTAACACAACAATAAAATATACTCATTCAGGTGAGGTCAACAAAACATTATTCTAATTTTTATTTAATTGTTCAAATGATTTTTGGCTTGTGGATTTTTTTAGTCTATTGTTGATGATGATGGGACGTGTGGCGGTCTACTAAGGCAAACAGGTGGATGGACCGTTGGGTTTCTCATCAAAGCCCTCCCACAACCGCCCTTCGTGTGCCTTTCAACCCACTCCATGCCTCCCACCTTTTCACATGTACAGTGGAACGATGATGCGTTGTGTCGTTTGCTGTATATTGTGTTCGGGCCAGCGGCTGCGCCCTGAATACATTCAATATATTCCCTTTCACATAACTGGGTTACACCGTGTGCCAGTTTAACTAATTTAACCGCATGCTACCACGTGGAGTCTGATTGAGGAATCCTGGAGGGTTGTGGGGACGCTCCAAGTTTAGGGCTGGGGTGGGCGATGGGGATGTTGATGAGATTTCGGATGTTTCGGGGTTGTTTTTCGGCTAGGAAATTGTTTTTGGGGAGATGAAATTAATTAATATCAGACACGGAGAGAAATATTCAGTAAAATTATGGAACAATTCACGTAATCCGCAATGGGGAATCGTTTTCCGGCAATTATTGTAGAAATGGATGAGAAGAAATCGGAAACGTTCAGTGAATTCTCAGGTTCATCACCGAACACAGTACGAATTGTCATGTAATTTTTCCCGAAGAAGTAAAATCTTACAGAAACTTGCTAATTTATTATGCCTCCAAAATAAATAGTATATTTCGTAATTAGACCGAAAAAAACTTTTCTGGCGAATATGAGGTTTGCAGCATGAGCCGAAGGCGAGGGCCGTGAAACCCTGCCTTACAGCCGGAATGACAAAAAAATTCTTGAACGTTCAACAATTTTTATGAAGCTGGTGAGTTATTCACGGAGAGACATTTTCTAGAAAAATTCTAGTGCTAACACGGGAAAAGAGGCGCAAAGTGACGACCAGGAAAAAATTCCAGTGCCGGCACTAGAAATTTTATTGAAGAAAACGTGAATTTTTTCCCTTATTTCTGTGAAAATTTCACAGAATCTCCAGAAATTTTACCAGAAATACCAAGAAATTTTATCTTAACAACACTAGAATTTTTCACAGCCGGTGGATTGTAATTTTTTCCAGTACCCGTACTATAAGTTTTCTAGAGAATTTCTCTCCGTGTTTCTACGTTTCGTTCCCAAAAATTTGTCAATCGTTGGGGAAAAATTATGGAACAACTTGTTGGCCCCACAGCGGTGCGTCATCAGACGGGTGGTTAATTTTTACGAAACAAATCATAGAATTTCCGTAGCGATTCGTACACACGGACAGAAATATTCAATAAAAATTACGTATCTTTTCCGTAATTCCGTAGCAAAATGTGGTTATCGGGAATTTTACGAAACTGTCACGGAATTTTTCCAGAGCGGTCCGCAATTTTTATCTGAATCTTCTGTGAAAAATTACAATACCGACACTTAAATTTTCTGAGTCAATCCCGTAATCGGTGAGCGAATTGTGAGTTCCGTAATTTTTACCGAACATTTCTCTCCGTGCAGTGATAGAAAGGATTAGTTATTGTTAATAAATGGATTTGGTTGGAGGCTAGGGTCTATTCGCTCCCACCAAATATTCATTCGTTAATAGTTAACAAATGCATATTTGAGTAGTCTTGTCTGACCCGACTTTCAGGTTTCAAATGAACCATTCGTTAACTATTAACGGATATTTATTTGGTCATATTCAACTCTACCATTCGTTAATAGTTAATAAATGCATATTTGAGTAGTCTTGCCTGACCCGACTTTCAGGTTTCAAATGAACCATTCGTTAACTATTAACGGATATTTATTTGGTCATATTCAACTCTACCATTCGTTAATAGTTAATAAATGCATATTTGAGTAGTCTTGCCTGACCCGACTTTCAGGTTTCAAATGAACCATTCGTTAACTATTAACGGATATTTATTTGGTCATATTCAACTCTACCATTCGTTAATAGTTAACGACTCTCGTTTGGAATAAATGAATCATTTTATCAGTGTACAATTTCAGTTCCGACTCACAATTTTAATTGAATTTTACTTCGCTCGCGGATTACGTTTCGAAACGTAATTTTTACGTTTTTTTCTGGTAATTTTTTAAAAAAATTTCTCTCCATGTAAATGGGAATCTTACTCTGTATAATTTGAGATGGCCGTTTCTCCAGAAATTCATGGAGGGTTCTAGAAAGTTCAAGAAAGCTCTAGAACGGTACAGAATCCTGTGGAAAGTTCGCGAATTGTTTGGAAAACTACAACTTTCGGATGTATAATGTTTCAGAAAACTACTCTGGTATATTTTAAAAATCTTCCTGAATTTCGCGATTAATTCAGAAGCCAAACGCTTCGGAAAATCGTGAAAGGATTCTAGAAAACCATAAAAAGCTCCAGACTGAGACAGCAGTTTTCCGCGACGGAATTTTTACATTAATTTTGCGTGATTTCATCATAAAATTACCGTCAACGTATATAAAAACTTCTCAATTGATTTGAGAGCTCACCTACGAAACCCTCCCATCATCGATGCGTTCTCTAGGTGCTCTGACACAATTTCAGAATATTCTAGATATTTCTCGCAGTTATCGCCTAAATGTCGATTTCAATATGAAAAAAATTCGACTGGGTTATTGGTCGCTAGCTTCGTTCGCTCTCATTGCGAGTGGGTTGAAGTGGGTGTGACCCATTATACGGGTAGAACTAATAACTTCCCAACCAATCCCATTTTTCTGTTGATTAAAAAGAAAGAACGCAACTTTCGAAATTTCCATCCGGATAACAAGAAAACGGCTGAGACGATTTTGCTCAAAATACAATCGAAATCGCATTACATGTAGATGCGACGACTGTACTAAAAAAAATCAAAGTCCATCATTATTCTCGGTAAAATTGTTGAAGTTTCAAAGAAAACTCACTTTTTAAAATTTTTTCACATGTTTCATGCGAATAACTAACGAAACGCTGAGACGATCGTCTTCATAACCCTAGTAGAAATTGTGCGAGCCCGAGTGGAAATTCCGGTTAGGTCTTGATCAAGTTTGGATCAGGTTAGACGTGACCACTGATCAGGTATTGATCAAGTTGATGGATCCGGTCTTGATCAGACATGTTACGCCTCTGACCAATCCGGATTTGATCAGGGCGAATGGATCCGAACTTGATCAAGTCAACTGTATGAAAACAGGATGACCTAGCTGTCAGTATCAATAACAATTATCAATGATAATTAATCCAAAACAAAAGATAATTCAATTCTTTCACCGTAGGCCGCCTCTCTTAATGAATCTCTACGGTTATTGCTATTACTTCTAACAAAGCTTATTATTTTTTTACCGATGCTGAGGATCGAGCCGGGGACCCTATGATTGCTAATCCTATGCCCTAACCACTACGCTATCGCGCTATTACTACTGAGTAAACTGTACATTGCCTATATGATTTGTATCGGGGTATTCGTTAAATTTACGATTATTCGTGATCTCGCGAATGTGCGTGTGTATTCTCAGAGATAAAATATGTTCAATTAAATTTTTATTTATTTCATTAATGAATGATAATAATGATAATGACAATGACAATAATAAATAAATAGACATTTGGTGATTTTTTTTCTCAAGATCATTTGCGTGTAAGTTTGATACTCCTCTAATACGTATTTACGGCATCATTATCCCTCCCTTCTATACATTTGAGAAGGGCTGGCTGTTAATTAAACTAAGTCCATTAAATCAAATTAATTTAATTTATTTTAATTACATTATAATGATCCTTTTTAAAGATTGAAAATAATTATTGATAATGGTTGATAAAACTTAGTTTTGAATATTATCATAATAGTTAATTAAATTATCCAAAAAACTTATTAAAATTGATGTCAGGTGGACCGGATCTGAATCTGATCATTTTCTCTTCAATTGACCCCGTTCAAATGCCGATCAAAGACATCAAATCCGAATTTGATCAAATTGGGGTCAGGCAGCCGACCTCAGGGTGAGCTCATGCCTACCTGATGAGAACTTGATCTGAATCG